AATAATCAATAAATATATGAACATATCGCACACCTCCCTGGCAATTAGTAAAAAGCAACATGAAACTACAATGAGGTCTCATGATACATATTACAAAATGAAGTGTAGGTGAGGATGAGAAATGAACAAAATATTTTTGGAGAATATGCTCACTATAAAGTCCATTTATATAAGATTCTTTTTTTATAATTATTTTTATTTATTTGGGTTTTTTTTTTAATGTGGTGCTGAGGATTGAACCCAGGTCCTTACTCATGCTAGCAAGCGCTCTACTACTGAGCCATAATCTCAGCCCACATTAGATAAATAAAACTAGGAGCTGGGGTTGTGGCTCGGAGGTGGGGTGCTTGCCTAGCATGCCTGAGGCACTGGGTTCAATCCTCAGCACTAAATAAAAATAAAAATATTGTGTCCACCTATATCTAAAAAATAAATATTTTAAAAATATAAAACTAATATGATATATATTTATTTGTAGTAAAACTCTAAAAATGATCAGGGGAGAAACAACACCAAATCTGTTAAAGTGTCTATATTTGGAAGGATGAGGATATCATTAAGGAAGATCACACGAGAAGTGAGAAAATATTGATAAAGTTCTATTTCTTCAATTAAGGAGTTGGGGACATTATTACTCTTTTTTAAACTGAACATGTATATTTTATATGTTCTTTTGTATACAGATATGATTCATAAGAATTGTTATGTAAAAGAAGAAAATCCTCCAAAACTAAAAACTTTTTTCTTTTTTCCAATGATCAGAGGTTCTAGCTTACTGCAGCCTATTCTAAAGATAATATAGGTTACGGAGTTTGAGAATGGAGCAAAGGTATAACCTAGGAGTCATCAAGACAAGGTATAAGCAGGTGCTAATTACATACACACACATGCACACACACATGTGAAAAATGCATTTTAAAAAAGATTTAGGGAAGACAATTTTTAAAAAATTTTTTTTTTAGTTGTAGTTGGACACAACACTTTTATTTTATTTATGTATTTATTTATTTTTTATTTTTTTATATGGTGCTGAGGATCAAACCCAGTGCCTCGTACATGCTAGGCAAGCGCTCTACTGCTGAACCCCAACCCCAACCCCAGAGAAAGAAAATTTAATAAGAAAAATGTGAGGGAGGGAGATCCACAGTAAATGTCATACATATACTATCTGTCATACAGTAAGTGTAGGACCTGGTAGAAATTCAATTTTGTTTTAGGAAGGTAAGATATTTAGAAATTGAGGTAAGGAAAAAAAGGAACATTAAGTAGCCTCATTTTAAGAAACAGAGAACATAACCAAGTAGAAAAGAAAGAAGATCAAGAGATAACTATATTGTTCTCCAGATTGTTTTTAACTTCTCTTAGAAAATCTCCAGAAAATAATTTCCTCAAATGCCTTTTATTGTGACGCTAAGATAGATCTTCTTTTTTTTTTTAAGGCAGCCAAAGCTGACACTTTTAGTGCCAACATTATTCTTCTAAAGCAATAATGCACCATTGGTTTCTGTAAATTCTAAAAAACTCAAATCCCCATATGGTATCCCAAGTTTTCAGCAACTTTCACTAACAGAAACAAATTAACAACAACAACAAAAAAATATATATGCACTCTGTTTTGTTTCTGGTAGTAAGCTCTGGTCCAGCACTGAAAGACTGCTTTCTGGGCTACTGTTTCTGATATTCATCTGTCCTCTTTATTTTCCACATTAGCACAGTCTTTACCTACTTTTCTAGTCCAAAGTGATCAAGTTTATAGAGCATTGATTTTTTTTATACCAGCTTAATCCTAAGTAGGCTTGTGGTGACACCTTTTGGCACATTATTCTGGTTTCCTATCCTTATCATATGGACTCTAGAAGCACAGCCAATCCTGAATTTAAGTTCTAAATGAAAATTGTGATGCTTCTAGCAAGTTCTTTATGCTCTCTGAATCTCAGATTCCTAATACATTAAAATAAGAATAAAATGTCTACCTTTGAAGAGTTGACCATTAAGTATATAAAGATATTCAGACTTCTTAAATGTAGACTGAGGGATAGGTAGTGAGATTCTTAGTTCTATTCTCAGTTCTGCTTCCGGGTGTGTCTCTGAGTGTGATCCTAAACACCATCCCTGAACTCTGGTTCACAGCAGAGATGTTTTTCTGCTTTCTAAGTTCAGTGGTCTGGGCAAGACCTAACAGGTCTCTGGCCACTCATTAAAAATAATACCTGTTCCATTGTCTTATAAGGTCTTCATCTGAATTTTAACTCTCCCATACAGATCCTGCAGATATTTTGCAAGCTCTTTTCTTGGGATAAGAAATATTTTCCAATTCTGGACTATTTACCTTAAATCCCTGCCTTTTCCCTTCAAACTTGTCTGAAAAATATTTACTTAGCTAGAATGATAAGGTCAGTTCACCATCTTCTTTTTTAAGCTATCATGACTGTTTTCTCATCAGAGGCCTATGGCTTCTATGAGGACATGTTTCCTCTACTAGCCTCACAGCCCAGCCTAATCTTTTATTAAAAATATTCCACAGTATCATGTTATAGAAAATAAATTAGGGGGAAAAACCCAGGTTCTAAACTCAATCCTCACACTTACTAAATATATGAATTTCATCAAGTCATTTAGCCTACCTAAAACTTAGGGTTTTTCCACCTGCAAAAAAAAAAAAAAAAAAAAAGATGTGCTAAGATATATGAATACTTAAGAGACTAATGACCAAAAGCAATCATACAGATGAATGTGTCTTTAAAAATATAGTTCTATGCTATGTGGATACTATTACCCATTCAGTAGAGAGGCAGTATGGAATAGTGATAAAGACAAAAGAATCTGAACTCCAAATCATTTACCAGCTCCACCTTTTGGTATGTAAAATGAAGATTAGTGTGCTTACTCCATATAATAGCTGATAACAGCTACTGTTGCTACCATTAAACACCTACTGCGTGTTAGGCATCTTATTAAGTGCTTGGTAATAAAATGGAATTAAGACAGACCTGGCTAATATCTTTGCTAAAATTTCTATTTCCTATTCCATATGCTTCATTTTCTAAATCATTTATATCATACATATTCAAAGCAAATAGAAGTCTAAGTAGTAAAGCATTTGCATAGAACATCAAGGTAAGAGTCCACAATTCCACTATTTCTTTCCTGTGAAAATTTTCAGTGAGCATGTAATGACTCTGGCATTTCTTTTCCTAATCTGTCACTTGAGTTGAAACTGTCCCAACGACTACTGAGTAAACTAAGATATGTTTCTATCAAATACAAATGAGCTAAGATAGTGTCTCTCAAAGTAACATCCCCAGACCATTTGCTTCTCAATCACATACTGAAGAATAACGATCCAAAGCAATAGAAACAAGAAAAATTTTAATCCTCAGAATAAAGTTTCATATGCCAGTTTCTTAATAGGGTGGAGCTGATGAGATCAAGACCATAAGTGACCTGAACATAAGCACCTTAACTGTGAGTGTTCAAGAAATTCCTATTCTGGAGGCCAAGAGAAAGTGTGGAAAGGGAACACTCTGAAAACATTTATCCAGATTTTTAAAGAAGGAAAGAAAACTTGTCTCAAAAGTCACACCTACTAAAATTGGGACTGGATGATCTCAGAAAATAAAACTGCTTTCTCTTAAATTCATTCAACTAATGACAGACCTCTCTGCTCCAACTAACTATCCACACCTATCACAAACCTTGGATAACCTCTCAAAAGCAAGCCTGGCCCACGAATGGTCAAGTTGATCCTGTGACCATCAGAACCATCAAAGGCAAGATGATGTATTGTCTTTTGATAATAGTAAACTGAAATAACCAACTTGGTCATATAATTACACAAGACATGGCACTTAAACACCGAAGAGAATCAAACAGCTTTGAACTCCTAGTGGGTGCGAATTTTCAAAATAGTAACAATTCAAAAGCTAATGAACAAAATATTTCTCAATCCTTCATGTCACAGAGGGCTGAGCTCCGCAGTGGTGAGAAAATAAAATGCCTTAGAGGCACTTAGTTCCTAAAATGCAGGGGAGTTAAGCCCTGTGACAAAAAATCGGGAGCCCAAGGCGAAAAAGGACGTCCAACCTGCCCACACAGAGCAGCCAGAATCAGGTCTGAGGCAGCAGAGCGGGCGGGGCCCTGACTTCTCCTGCATCCCTGCGCTCGCTTTTCTCCGCCTGCGTGAGCGCCGCCCACCCACTCGCGGCGTGAACCCACAGGGCCCGGCCTCTCCTTTCCCCTCCCCTCGGCCTGGTGCTGAATCACGAGCCCACTATCTCCAAAAGGTAAAATCAAAGAACAAAGCCACCCTTGGGGCTGGTCTGAATGCGGTAGCAGGTCGGGGTGGGGCAGAAGACTGGAAACCGCAACTTTGCTCCCCTTCTTCCCAAATTCCCCCTTCCGACCACCGAATTAAAACAAGTACTGCAGTGCTCCGGGACTCCCAAGACGGTGCCCCTTCCCCCAGGGTGTTTGGGTCCGCAAAGATCGGTCCGCCTGGGTGCGCTCCCCTTCATTGTTCCAAAGCGCGCTCGGAGCCCGCGCCGTGCTGGGCCCTCAAGCTTGCACCTCGGGGGGGAAAGGGGGTTGGGGCTCCCCCTGGTCAAGATCCCGACCCCTCACTCTCTCGGCCGGTAACGACTGCTCCCCCCCGCCCACACTCAAGGCCACCCTTCCAACCTATGGCTGATGCGGAAACCTCCCATCCCCGCAGGCGCCGGGTGGGTGCTGTCCAAATGCTGCGAAGAGGCGGGCGCCGGGTGGGGGAAGAAGCTGACGGCCGGGCCTGCACGCAGAGGCAGCCCTCGCCCCCACAGCGCGATTTCGGTGACGCGGGTGCATCTCGGCCGTGGTTCTTCGGGCCCTACAGGGTAGCTTGGCAGCGGCCTGCTCCCAGCCACGGATGCTGGCACCAGGCAACCGTTGGCCCTCCTTGTGTCCAAAAGCAGAAAGCGGTGGGCCAGACCCCGAGCAGGCTGCAGAAGTTACCGTTTGTTACTCACCCCAACTGTTTCTGTCCCTGCGGTTCTTGGCCATGGTGGTCTGCGGACTAGTGGAGGCGAGGCGCTGTCACTGCCCTCCCTGTCTTCACTCCGGCCGCAGGTTGCTGGCGGTGGGAGGCTCTCAATGCCTAGGCTGGGCGCAGTTCGCTCAGACTCTGAGGATGTTGCTGTGGCGCTGGTGGGAAGGAGCGGGGAGGAAAAGGGAGGAGAAAGGGATGAACCAAGCTCAGCATCACAGCCCGAGTTCACACAAATACCAGCGTCACACCCTCCTACCTCAGCCCACCCCCAAAGCGCGAAGACAGTGACAGACGACGTACTGCAACGTTTTCAAAGGAAAACACACATAAATAAACAGCACCCCTTTGCACACATTCTCTCAAAGAATTTAACAGCATTATTGATGACAGAAATTCACAACCCAATATACTGTATTATTCTGGATATCCAAATACCTGCTTCCTAGGACAGTTACATATTAGTACAAACATGCTGGAATATTTATATACCCAAAGTAGTTAAAATAATTTTTCTCCAAGAGTCATCTTTATTTTTTTCCATTTTAAAAGTAAGGTTATGATAATAAAGAGGGTATCATTTTGTATTTGTATACTAAGCGGGTTATATTTTAAAATCAGATTAGAAAAATTTGGATCAAGAAGATCAATTAAACCTGAAGATTCATCATAAACTGTAAGTAGCTCAACATCTAGTGTGTAACATTTCCCCACAAGATTTGCAGAGATGAAGTATGGAGCTATATAGACAATAGCATTTTTTTAAAATTGTAGTCGAACCTAATACCTTTACTTTATTTGTTTATTTTTATGTGGTGCTAGGCGAGTGCTCTACTGCTGAGCTCCAGCCCCAGCCCCCAATAGCAAATATTTGAAGTAAAATAATACTACATAGTGTAGATGGGCCTTGGCAGACATAAAGGTTGCAGACAATTTTGAATGAAAAAGCAAAAGGTAATAAATACTTTTTAAAAATATTCTTGGGCTGGGGTTGTGGCTCAGTGGTAGAGCACTTACCTCGCATGTGTGAGGTACTGGGTTCAATCCTCAGCACCACATAAAAATAAAGACACTGTGTCCATCTGTAACTAACTTAAAAAAAAAAAAAATATATATATATATATATATATATATATATATATATATATATATATAGTCCTTGATCTCTCCTTTTTTGCTGCTTCTGCCTACAAACTTAGTTGTTGTCAATATCCTAGAAACACTGTCGCTTCATGTTACCTGACCCACAAGATACCTTCAGCCCATTTTTCATTTTCTCAGTTTTCTTCATCCTAGCATTTGGTTGTTACCCACACTATCTACTGATCAGTTCTCTTTAAAAGACCACTGCTAGCCTTTTAAGGACCATATTCTTGGTCTCTGCTTACTGTTCATCAAAAGCTACTCTCCACCCTGCACTCTCAGTGAAATTCCTATGATGACTTGAGATAGGACCACAATGATGCTGATTGTCAAATCTGTATATCTAGTCTTATGTACTCTTAAGGAGAAAGAATCATCACACCAGAGATGACCTTACAACTGCCTGAAGTTATCTCTACTCAGTTTTCTTACCAGCATTACAAAATCACATGTTAGAAACCAAACTCTCTTACCCACTGCTGCCAAATCATCTTACGCATTCCATATTTCAGTCAGTAGTTCTAGCAACCTAAGAGCTCTGAACACTGTAAACCAAGTTTACATAATAGTTTTAAAAGAGCATGGTTCAACAGAATTACATTCCCCAAACACTAATGAAAACATACTGAAGAGAAATTTCTTCACCCCTGTACCTATGAACCATCTCCTGTGTCCTTTTAACATGTGCATGATTTGTCTTTGAATATTTCCTTGTTTTCTGGCACAAGGAAATATTCCAGGTTTTCTGTTTTATTTTCCCTGCTTCAGAACTGGAATTAGCTATTTCTCCAAAAAGATCTGGCTCCTTTAATGAAGAAATGTTTTGGCTAGCTATAAGGTATTTAGAAAAAAAGGTCTGGGTGCTGTTGTGCTTACTGTGGGCTGAAGTGTCACTGTTTCTTGAGTCTTTTAATAGCCATTACTAGAAGACATTTATTTTTTTTAAATGATGATTTTAATGAACTTTGGGGAAAATGTTCAATTATATGAAAATACAAATATACATGGTTATTTATTGTGGATTTTTTTGTAACTGTAAAATATTGGAAACAAGATAAATACACATACATAGAAAAGGGTTTAAATAACTTATAATATATCTACACAATAAAATGCTACATAGTTATAAAAAAAGAATACAGAAGAACTTTATGAACTAGTGAAAGTAATCTCCCTCCTGTTAAATGGCGGGGAGGGGTGTCAAGAGGCTGATAATATAACTTTTCTGTAAGAAAGAATGTGAAAAAAAAAAAGAAATGTCTTGTTCATCTGTGCAAAATAAATACAATCAGAATAAAACAGAAGCCAAAGAGATTGTTTACCTATGGGAGATAGTAAGAACAGAGAAGAAACAAAGGAGAATGGAGTAGGTCATAAGGATTGGAGGTACTATTCTCTAAGTGTAAACTTTGTATAACTGATTCTTAGAACCATGGTACTGTTTCTCATTCTCCAAAATGGATAAATAATTAAAACTAACCACAATATGGTGAGAACTAAAAATGGAATTGCAAGCAGTTAAAAAAAAGTGAACCTAATTGTATTGTAGGTAAATGACAAAACTACACTGAAGGATGTAGAATGCATTTACTGCATGCTACAAGCCTAAAGACAAAAAGAACATTGCACTCTAGTTTGGAACTTTTTTCTCCCAGCTTATAGGAATTAGAAATTCTGAAATTATTTTATTTATGTTCTAGGACTGAATAAATATGTGGTGCATAATGAGAGGGGTCATTTTTAATACCGGAAGTAAAGCATAATAAGGAAGAAGAAAGAAAGAAGATAGAATGAACTTTATGGTATTGAATCGGAAGCTGAGGTATTAAATAAAATGCAAATAACTCAATTTTTTAAAATAGGCAAAAGATTTAAATAGGCATTCATCCATAGAAGACATACAAATGGCCATAAGGACATGAAAAGATGCTCAACATCTTTAGTTATTAGCAAAATGCAAATCAAAATCACAATAAGATACCATTTCATTGCCTACTAGGTTAACTGTAGTCAGAAAGACAACAACAAGTGTTGATGAGGATGTTGAGAAATTGACATCCTTACACTCCGGTGGTAGGAATAAAAAATGGTGCAGTCACTTTAGAATACAGTCTTGTAGTTATTCAAAAAGTTAAACAAGGGATTAACATGAACTAGGAATTATATATATATATATATATATATATATATATATATATATCCCAAGGAAATTACAAAATATGTTCACACAAAAACATGCACAGTAAGTTTATAACAAGATTAATAATATTCAAAGATAGAAATAACCCAAATTCTAAATAACTAATGAATGGGAAAACACAATATGGTTTATATTCATGTACCATAATATTACTTGGTCATAAAAAATTAAGTACTAATATATGCTACAACATGGATGGCCCTGAAAAATATTATGCCAAGTGAAAGAAGCCAGCCACAAAGACCACAAATTGTATGATTTCATTTATATGAAGTTCCTAGAATAGGAAAATCTACATATACAAAAAGGAAGCTAATTGTTACTTAGGGCTGATAGGCGGAGTATGGGATACTGGGGAGAAATTAGAGCATAAAAATTGCTGAATTGTACAACTTAAATTGTGAATTGTATGGTACTTGAATTATATCTTATAAAGTTTTTTTAAAGTCAAACGTCAAGCTTATTTTCAATTAAAAATGATATTCCTCCATATGTATTAAGTACTCTTCCTCTTCCTTCCTTCTCTAAAATGTTAATCCATAAATTATTCTTTCCCTTCTGTGTCTTCAATTATTTTTTCTTCTGTTGGCTCCTTTAAGTTGCTCATTTTATACTATCATAAGTAAAGGGCTTCCAGAAGGGAAGTCTAGTAAAGCACAGGAAGGGAGAGGGGAGGAGGACTGGAAGGAGACAGGGAGGGAAAGGGAAGGAAGGAAAAGGGAGCAGAAACTGAAATAGAATTCCACACATGAGTTTCTCAGGATGAATACAAATACTATGTATAACTATAAAGCTCTAATAAAAAAAAAAGTAAAGGGCTTCCTTGATCAGGAGTTTCTAGTAGTTGATGCCCCCATTTGTTCCCTCCCTCTATAAGTAGCAAAAATATTTATATCAATCAGAATGTTTTGGGATGTACCTCAAACTAGCTTAAACAAAATGGAGGATACTTACTCTCATAAAACTCTCAAATATCATCTCTTCTCAAATATCATTGACTTACCATGTTCCACCTAGTTAATAAATATACCATGTATGTAACTAAAATTTAGGGTGCCTAATATAAAAGGGGGAAAAGATATTGGGAAATAACCATGTCTAAGCACAGACCAATCCAGAAAAGGTAAAGCATCCTCAGTGCATTGGATTCTATTCTACTGCTGGCTTCTCTCATAGTTTTAAAACAGCATTTGCATTCCAGTCATTAGAGGCAGGTTGCCACACCTAAACAGAAAAAGGCATGTCTGTGTCATAAGCACCTTGATAAGAGCAAGAGAAGTCTTCCTAGGAACATGCTGACAGACTTTTCCTTCTGGTCACTGTCTAGAATTGTCCAATCCTAAAGTATTTCTTGAATAAGAAGAATGAGGCTGGACTCAAATTTATCCCCCAGGATGGGAGAATGTCTCAGTCTCCACAGAAGGACATAACCATTGGAAAAAAGTCAATCAAGCTGAGGTTCTAATAGTAAAGAAAGAGGAGAAAGGGTAGTTATTGGGCCCATAGCCCATGGTAATAATTATAGCTTCCATTTTCCTCATTACCCTCTACTAATACCTCATCTGGTGAACTGACCCAAACTTCTCTCCTATAGTCTCTAAGTCCTTAGTGACCTTATCTTCACTGGGTTGCAGCAAGTTCCCAGTGTCCAATAATAGGAGACATGTGACTACTAAGAAGCACCCTCTTTATTGCCTTTGTGGAGCAAGACCAATTTCCCTGTGATAACTAGGATCAATCACCCTGATTAGTACAATGACCCCCCTCTCTAATTGTTGGTTCAGTGGTCTGAAGGCTCCAAAATGGCCAGGTGGT